ACAAGTCTTTCTCCACACTTCTAAACACTCTTCATGCATCTCTAGCACGTATAATCACTCAAATTTATTGTATTATAACATATTCTAACCCCCAAAAACACTAGACAAGCCATTTAATGCTTCAAAGCAAGTTTTGGGGGTTGTTGGACCATTTCTGACCAAATTTCAGCAAGTTTTTCTCCTCACTTCTAAACACTCTTCATGCATCTCTAGCACTTGTAATCAATCAAATTTATTGTATTCTAACATATTATAACCCTAAATAACACTAGACATACCATTTAATTGGGGGTGATCTTCTTTTGGATAATGGCACTGCATTCATGACTCAATATCACCATGCCTTGTACTTCTTTTGCCCTCTCCATAACCAAATCTTTGAGGAACTTCTGATAAGGAGGGACAAGTGCGAATGCATCCAGCAATGGTATTCTCAACTCAATCTCTCTTACTTTCTTTTCAAATAAAGCCTTATACTTCTCAGCCTGCTGTTTCTTGAATCGTCTTGGAAATGGAAGAGGTGGTTTGTATGGTGGGGGAACGTATCTCGCAGGTTTATCCTTGGAAACTGGAGGTTTTTCAGCATGTTTCTCAGCAGGTTGAGGAGCTTCTTCAGGTACGACTTCTGATTCTTCCAAAGGGACAACCGGATCTTCATTCTGACATACATCCTCCCCTTCCAAGTCTTCACTGTCCTCAGTGACTACAATAGGTCCTTGTCTGGGAGGTAAGTTTTTACCGCTCCTCAGCGTGATGGCATGAGCAAACTCCTTAGGATTCTGAACAGCTTTTCCAGGGAGTTGGCCAGGCTTTGGGGCCGAAGTAGAAGCAGTTTTGCCCTCCATATACATGATCTTGGAATTCAGAGTCTCCATCTTCATGTTCAGATCATTGTCTGAGCAGTCCCATCTGTGAGTCAGCTCAGCAAAATTCTTAGCATTTTCCATGGAGCCACTTGCTTGTCCCTGTAGGAGTTGCTGAAGCATGTTTTTCATGTCATGGTCTGGTGCCTGAGGAGGCAGAGTGCGTTGAGGTTGGAATCCTGGTGGTGGTTCTGCTGGAGGTTGGTAACCTTGCTGAAATTGTTGTTTGGGCGTATAACCTTTGTTGTAGGGCACAAATGGTTTGTTCTGCCCCTGCTGCTGCTGTTGTGGAGGTGGATTGGTGCTCCTATAAGACAGATTGGGATTCTGCTTATAAGGGTTGTATCCCTTGTTGTAGCCACCTTGGTTCTGGACATAACTTATCTCCTCAGATTGTTCTCCCTCCCCATCCAGAATCTGGTAAGGGTCGTCTTCAGAGACGAAATGAATGTTCCTCTGCTGGCTCATCAAGAGTTTGTCTAGCTTATCATTCACAACTTTCATCTCCTTCTTGTACTTCTCATAAAAATATGTGCTTGCCCTGATGGTTCTATCGTAATCTTCATTGTAATTGTCATCGGATTGGGATAGATTCTCAACAAGCTCCCAACCATCGTCGACGTCCTTGTTCAGAAAGTTGCCACTGTTGGCAGTGTCAAGCAACATCCGGATCTTTGGGAGAACACCCCGGTAAAGAGTACTGAGGAGAGACTCATTGGTGAAGCCATGGTGGGGGCACTGAGACTTGTAACTTTTGAAGCGTTCCCAGGCTTCACAAATCGTTTCTCCATTGTTCTGAGTGAACCCAGAGATCTCGTTGCGCAGACGTGCAGTTCTGGAGTTTGAGACAAACTTGGCAAGAAACGATTGCTTGCATTGATCCCAGGAAGTGATAGATCTTGGAGGAAGAGTTTTCTCCCATTGATGAGCTTTGTCACCCAGAGAGAATGAAAAGAGACGTAGCTTGAAACTGTCCTCACTGACCCCATTTATCTTGGTGAGACTATAGAGACGATCAAACTCATCGAGGTGATCCAGGGGGTCTTCCATAGGCAGACCATGAAATTTATTCTGCGGGACCATGGAGATCAGACCACTCTTGATCTGAAAGTTGTTGTTCTGCGCGGCTGGAGGCACTATACCCTGACACTGGGTATGGTTACGTGGGGCATCACCAGCTCCAATCCGTGTAGGTGCCCGTGGTGGTTGAATGTTTTCCATCTCCACTTGGGGTGGTGTAACTCTGTTGCGTTTCTGTCGTCATGCAGGTACCAAGCGATCAATATGGTCGGAGGGCTGCAACAAGTTCTCTGTGCCTTGCAACCGTGTGTGCATACAACTCAAATCAGCTTAGCTCGCGAGACGGTTGAGTGTTTTAGTCGAGTAGGAGCAGTTGAGCAAGAGTTGTACCTGAATCAATAGAGAAATAGAAGGAACAAAGTGAGTAACTGTAGTGAATGTTGAGTAAAAACTTGATCTTAGCAAGTTTAAATCTCAAATGTAACAAACAAACATCCAAATGGCAGCGGCGCCAAATTGATACTAGGATTTTTCTATCAATTACCCTAGAGTACTATCATGTCATTGTAGTACAATAGGTATCAATCCAATCAGGTGTGATGCTAACAATCAAGATATATCAGAAATGACTAAGTCAAGCAAGCATAAATGATTTTTGGTTTTAAGTGATCCTAAGCGAACATGTTAAACATGCGATAAATGTAAGGCTGTAAAACATAGACTACCATGCATAAGCTAAAACGTAATGATTATTGATCCTGGCAAGAAAACAAAGCAGAACAAGTAAATAACGAGAGAATTAAACAGAAAGCACAAATGGATAGAAGATCCTGAGGCTGAGGTTATTGATGTAGGTGAAGTATGCTAATCTACTTCGAGTGTTTATCAAACTGCAAACATACTAATCCCTAGACAATGAACTTCTAATACTAGTCAATCCAATCTCTTGGTAGAAACTATCAAGTTTACAACACTTCCTAATCTAAATTCTCATTGATGAAACATGTAGTAAACAGGCATAAAGAAACATCTCATTAATGTCAATAAACATCTTAGACAACCAATCTCTTGGGCTAAGCATGTAAATCTCTGGCACTAGTTGGTTCTGACATTTCATCATATACCTTTCGGGCATGAAATGTCTAAGACCTAGTTCCAATTGATCAAAGAAGAACTAGTCAATAAAACTCTAATCCAGAAGGGAAACAAATCGAATCTAACATAAACATTCTAGCAAACTAACATCTTCCACCTAATCTATTCCATCCTCAAGAACCCTAACACTACTCGGATGCAGAAATCATGTTAAACATCATGAAACCAGAAACGTTCAAAGCATGCATAATAATAAAGATGACAGTAAGATAAACAACAATGATCAAAGAACTAAGTGCGAAATCAAAATAACTTCAAAGAAATCTAAATTACAATTGTCTAGATTATTTGGTTGCTAACAACAAATACCTAATGTAAAAACTCAATCCCCTGGGCATCCAAATGAGACCTATTTATAACAATGTTTGAGAAAACTCGATTGTCCCACTCGATCGTATGCATGTCGAGTAACGCTTGTTCCTCTACTTCGTCCTGCATGTCTCCTAAGTACCTGAAACACTCCAAATATGCAGTATGTATGCAAGACATGCATGATATGTATAAAACGTACCTAAGTATGTAAAACATGCATAGATGGATCAATATGATTTGTCCAGCATTTGTGTTCACACTATGTGTTCACACTTAGTTGTACCCACAAGGATGTAGTTGTACCAAGATTGCAAATAGTTGTACTTTTGATGTTTTTTCAGTTTAATTAGTATTACACTGTCTTAAAACTATATTTAGTAGTTGTACAGTTGATTAATATCAGTCTACCTACGATTAAGAGTATTCTATGTATTCATAACTGAAAAATTTATAATTATATAATTTTTTCATCTCAACTTGGTGATTATTTACAAAGTGAACTTAAAAGTATAAGGAAACACTAGTTTAGATTCTTTCATATCGACCCAAAATATAAATATTTTTTAAAATTGTACTTTTTACCACATTAAGTATGTCGTTTATTGGTACATACATAGTTAGGTTCAATTTAAAATAATTTTATGCATCTTAAGCATCTTTTATCAGTTATACTAGTTGTACTAGTATGTCAGTTTTACTAGTTTTACCGGTTTTACCAATTGTACCACTTTTACCAAACAGATGCCAATTACGCCTTAAAAATGACAGTTATACCTGTTTCACCCGGCTACGACACATCAAGTTAAATAAGAAGCAAACATACATTGTCACATAACATAGAGAGAAGAGGTACAAACAGAAGGTTCCATACATGAATCAAAAATAAACGAAACATGAATCAAACATTACTAGAAACTCCGAATAACAACCATTGTAGTCCTTGTCTCCGCCGCCTTTTATTTTGTGTTCTTTTTCTCTTTGGTGGTCGCTTTTCTCCAATAGACGCAAACCTTTTAGTTCTCTTCCTTCCACCATTTGTTTTGCGTTTTGGCGGAATGATCTGAACATTTTTCACCCAAGCCGGGACGTTCCACTGAGACTTATCCGGTACTAGGAAAATTGTCAGGTAATACGCCATCGCCCACAGCTCCGGCCAATAGTACCTAGAACACAACTCATGCATTTGGATATCTCTAGTTCTATCTTTAGTCTTTAGGTACTCTATGAAAGCGGCCAATGCATGTACAAAGGGTACTTTTGAATATCAAAAAACCTGCAACCACAACTCCTCATAAGAAAATTCACCAAATAAGGCTTCCCGTTGTTGTCAATGACATTGTACTGGAGCTCAAAAGTGTTTAGCTCAGTCACTTTTAGTTTCTCAGCAACCCCCCATAAATCGTGCAAGTAATTCTCCACAAAAGGCACCAATTTATTTGCAACCGAACCAGACACGGCCTCTTTCCGATGTTCATTAAACCATTCAGAGAATTTTCCGATAATCGCATCAAGCATGGGAATTAAGTAGTACATCCTAACGTCTTTGAATACGCTGTTCAATGATTCCACACCGTTGCTAGTGTCTAGGTTGTACCTTTCTCCTGGAAATACACATCTTGCCCATTTTTCAACCTTCGTAGAATCTTCGAGATACTTGGCAGCATTTGGATACCTTATCTTGAAAGAATTGTATTCCACTTCGAACTCAGCCACTGTGTATAACCTGCTAACCTCCATGAATCTCCATGCAACAACATCTCTGTTATAATTGGAAGCATGACCTTTCACATTTTGGGACAAATGGTATATACAAAACCCATGATGAGCTTGTGGATACACATTAGCTATGGCTTTGATGAGACTTGCATTTATGTCAGTCATAAATACTATTTCAGAGGAGTCTCCAATAACGGTTTTCAACATCTCCACAAACCAATTCCAACTCGCATCATTCTCACCGTCAAGAACACCAAACGCTAACGGATAATGATGACGGTTAGGATCTTGAGCCGAGGCAAAAACAAGAACACCACCATATCCGTTCTTTAGAAATGTTGCATCTATACTTAATAACCTTCCTCATGACTTTAAACCCCTCAATGCTAACTCCCAAAGCTATGAACAAGTACATGAATTTCTTATTCTCATCCAAATGCACATATGTTTTCGTACCTTGATTAACCGTCTCTAACATGTGCAAATAACAAGGGAGCATTTTGTAGCTTTCTTCCGCGGTACCACACAAATCACTAACGGCTTTAACTTTCCCTGTCAATGCCGTCGAGTATGATACACTCAAACCTAATTTGGCCTTCACAAGTTCCATGATAATCTTGGGACGTGGAGTTTCCATCTGTCCTGGATAATCATTATGCAAAAGGGATGCAACTAATTCCGGAGTGCCGCGCCTGTTACTATTGCTTGAACTTTTACTCGCCCGAGAGCAGCTATGCATATTGTTGAGCCGGCGGATAGAGAAAATCTCAGTCTCTGGAACTTTTGTCGCTCGTAAACCCCAACTACATCCTTCTTTAGAACATTTCAACACATAACGATCCTTATCCGACTTCACAATTTTAAACCTAAAACAATTAGCAAACGAAGCTCTATCCACCACCTCTTGCAATGCCTTCTTGTTTGGGAATTCGTCAATTTTCCTCAAAGTCAAACCATCTTCCCATGGGTCTATAACCTGAGAAGGTGTTACAACAGGTGGTTGTTCAACATATTCATCACCTTCTTCACGTCCTAAAGTTTCAGAATCGCCCTCTACACCCTTTCCTTTATCTTTCTCTTCGGATGGAACAATGGCGTTAGCCTCATCATCTCTAGTCTGTTGGTTTTGATAATTCATACCAACTGAACTTTGGTCCACTCTAACAGCCTCATCATCATCATCTTCAATCACTTGCTCAGGCTGTTCCGATACCTTTGGGACATCCACAAACAACACACATCTTCGCTTCTCTGTATCAAAGGACGTCAAATACACATCCAAATCCTCATCATCACAAATCCTACACTTTTCCCTCTCATTCGATTATGCCACTAGCGGATAGTAGCTCAACTCCAATTTAACGTGGCTCTCAACAAATCCAACCTTCTTGTTTATCCTTCCTTTTAGCATCGACAACGTTATATCACTCGCTTTTGTCTTGATCATAATACTGTTTAAGTTAAATATTTTTTTTCTCTATTTGGTGTGTGTTTGATCATAACCCAATTTTACTAAATGAAACAAAACATCGTTCTATTTTTTTTTAAACACGTAACTTTAGATAGACAGAAAATTAATAAAATTTAAATTTTACATATCTTTTAATTTTAATAAACACTACAATGTTGATAAAAAAAATAAAATAAACACTATGATGTTTGACATAGAATATCTTTACAGTTTAAAAAAAAAATCTACTTAAAATATCCTATCATATTATGTTGTATTTCCTACGAAATTTTCTACGACTATATTTTGGTAGGGTTTCCGTAGGATATTTTTTACGACTTTCTCACGAAAAAGTCTTGTAGGAAATATACTTCCAATTTCCTTCGACATTGGTTTTTCGTAAAAAAATCTTAGATAAATGGTAGCAAATATATCCTACCACTAGTTTGGTAGGAAAATTGGTAGGTTTTCGCCTTGTTTTCTTCTAGTGCTCTTCATGCATCTCTAGCACATGTAATCAATCAAATTCATTGTATTCTAACATATTCTAACCCCAAATAACACTAGG